TGCGTGACCATGGGCTGAGCGCTGGGCATGTGAAGCTGTAAATACTGCGCTGGGGGAAGTAGAGAGTGCATCGAGGGGTGGGGGGTGGGTTGGGTAGGAACCCCCCCCCCGGAGCTGCGTTGGGCTGCAATGAGCTCTGGGTGCTGCTTGAGCTGAGCCCCGGGCAGAGGCTCCGGGTGGGGCGGGGGGGGGGCAGGGGGGTCTCGGAGCTGTGAACGCATCCGTCGGGCGTCGGCTGAAAACGCTGTGGTTTGAAAAGTGAATAAACGTGTGAACGTGGCCCGGGAGGGCGCTGCGCTATGGGGGATCCGGAGAGGGGGAGGATTAGGAAGGGGGGGGGGATCGCTTCGCGCAGCTGTGATGGGGGCTCGGGGGGGTTTGAGGGTCCCGCGGTGCCGGTGTTGAGCATGGGGTCCCCTCTCGGCTGCGGAGCCGCCCGGCAGCGAAGTGCCACCGCTGCAGTTTCCATCTCCGTTGCTGTGGTAACCGAAGGGATGCGTGCGCCGAGCTCAGCTCCCGCGTGGCACCGCAGCTGCGGTGGTCCCCGAGCTGTGCTCACCCCCCCCGCACCCACCCTGGGGGTACACAGAGCTCCAGCTAAGCGAGTGGGAAGGAGGGGGGAGGCGACAACCGAACCCAACCCCCCCCCCCTTTCCCGGTCCATCTCCATATGGTGGCGGCGGAACCCTGAGCGACCCCAGCCCGGCGCTGAGCAGCAGCTGCTGCCGTTTGTCGCAGCCCATAAACCGGCCCGGGAGAGGGGGGAGATGGGGGGGGTTGGTTATAAGACCCCCGGTTTCCAGGAGCAGCTCCGTAACGCTGAGCATCCGGGGGGGTGGGGGGTGAGGGGGGGGGATAGCAGCGATGGCCCCCGCTCCTCCAGCACCGCGGTGATGGGAAGATGGTCCTAAAGCGCCTGTGCCAATTGGATTAGCGGTGGAAATCCCGCAGCATCCCCCTGGCAAACATATGGATTATCCGCCATCACCCGGCGCGGGGCTGGAAATGCGTGCGGGGATTAACGCGGGGGTCACTCCCAAAGGAATATCCACGACGGGGGGGTTCCTGGAGGTCCGCGTCCCC